TGATCGTCTAAAGACTTTGGCAGCTTGGGTCGTCAATCTATTACTCAGCCTTCCCTGATGATTCTCAAAGGTTCGGTCTCTAGGCAAACAACGGGCGTGAATGGCACGGTGGGTTTGATTGTTGTGGGGGGCACCGGAAAGGAACTAACTAAGATTGTTGACAGCGTTATCGTCTAAAGACTTTGGCAGCTTGGGTCGTCAATCTATTACTCAGCATTCCCTGATGATTCTCAAAGGTTCAGGTCTCTAGGCAAACAAAAACAAAAGAACAAGATGGAAAACTAACAACCCAACAAATCAAAACACAGAGAGAGACAGAGGAGAGAGCAGGTTTAAGCCTTTCCATTGCTGTTAGGGGTTATGACAAGTCCTACCGAGTAGAGGGTGCTGCTGGGTCATAATATCTAGTGTGGCAGCCTTGCTTGAATAGCAGGAGCGGCCAATTACCTTAAAGATTGAGGAGCAACCTGATTTTGGGGTTTCGCTAGCTGGATGGGTCAGTATTCTATGGGCTTAGGCTTAGTGATGGATTGAGCTCACTGCGATCCGCCGTGGAGGCAACTGTCACTTCACCAACTAAGCACTAGAGGGAGTGTTACCTATAGGTGAACAAAAATGGCTAGAATACAGAAATTAACTTTAAATTTGAATTCAAACACTGTTTAAACTAAATTTAAATAAGTGAGTGGTAAAGTGAGAGAGAATAGGGGGGAGAGAAACCTGATTAAAAAAAAATAATAATAAAAAAAGGGAACAAAACAAACAAAATTATAAAAGTAATAAAAGATAATAAAGTAAAACAAAAATAATACTGAATATGAAAAACGAATACAAAAACAGGAAATAAAAATAAATCAATAAAATTAAAAATAAAACTGCAGGTAACTAGAATGGCTAGAATGATAATGACTAACGAATCAGAAGGGAAATTAAAATAAAACAAATTGGAGTACAAAGTCGACCTAGCAGAGTAGAAGGAGTTCAAGAAGTGTTAGATACTTAAACAGCCTGCCCGCTAGTGTTAGTTTAAGGTACTGTGCCTTAAATCCAATCGTGCTTAAACTGATAGCGTTTAGTGTGAGACTACTCTCATTCTAACGGAATTTACTGCAGCTATCACAAGAACACTGAGACTCAAATCCCAACAGATTCTTACAGTTTGTGCAACTTAACTGTTTAATGATGTGTAGCAGGATTTCTTCGCTGCCAGTACACCATTACAAATTTTTAACAACAGGGTTTCTTCGCTGTTGTTATGCAAATTTCACTTGATCAAGGTTTTAAAAGCTCCCATTTACATTCCAATCAGTTCACTGGTTCTTATGTTCTTATGATGTTCTCAATGTTCTTATGATCAGATCTGCATTAGGCAGCGCATTGGATAGCTACTCTAATGGTTAAACCTAAGGGAGTGAGATCGTCTAGTTGAATGAAATTTGAACACGCAATGACTTCAATCTAGTGATACAATCAGATAAGGCCTTTAAAAGATGATAAGAGGAACATCGCTCAAATCAATCTTTAATCGCTCAATTTTAACCACAACCTAATGAGAATCATCAAAGAATCAAAAATCACCTTAAAAAGGGGCTCACACTTAAACCCGCATCTAAATAGTTGTAAATGGTTACTTGCATTGGCTTCGATTCCTGATGCGGTAGACAATGGTTCTTGAGTTCTCTTAGAAGTGAGCTGGAAGTTCTCTTTGTCTTCTTCTGAAGATAGGAAAGTCCACAGCGAATCGAAGTTACTTGAAGATAAAAACTGCCGGAAAATCTAAACTCCAGAGGAGAGTCTTGAGAGGTCTAAGTGTCGTCTTAAAAGAAGAGGGTTTTTTATTTTAGCAAAGATCATTTCGCGCTAATGACTTTTGAGAAGTTTCCTTTGTCTCCCTTTATGGGCCATTTGCATGTTTATGGGTCGATCTGGAATTGGTGCAGTTTTAACCCAAAATATAGCACAAAACGTATGATGCATTTCACAATCACATACTGTACATCATTGTTTGAGGAATAAAGAGCAGATAATATTGATACCAAGAAAGAAACATTTAGAATATATTAAACCAGAGATACATTCATACACCTGAATATCAGCGTTTAGGGCTTAACTAATACAAATAACGAGTGGTAACTCAGCTAATCTAATAGGGAAACGTACAAACAACACATGCATATATCAGATATATTTGAAACTGATTAATTATTGTCTAAATAAAGAAAATGTCTTTACCAGGACTGTAATTTATATGCAAATGTCAAAGGCTAAAAGGGGTCTCTTAAGCCATAAACCCCAAAGACCATGCATGATTTTACGCAGACGCTACACTCGTGTATCGCAAACAGCAGGGGCTCCAACCATTGATCCCAATTTTTTGCGTCGTCATGTACGAACTTATGAATCATATTTTTCAATGTTAGATGACACCGTTTTACCAGTCCATCCATTTGGGGGTGGTAGACACTGGTGCGCAAAGATTTAATTCCCAATAATTCGTAGAGTTCGTGAAGTGTACGTGACACAAACGTTGTGCCTTGGTCGGTGAGGATCTCTTTCGGGATCCCCACCCGGGAGATAATTCGGAAGAGGGCATCCGCCACACTCTTCTCAGAGATGTTGTGGAGGGCCACTGCTTCCGGGTATCGCATTGCATAATCGACCATGACTAATGCAAAGTGATGCCCTCTTGCTGACCGTTCTAATGGCCCGACGAGGTCCATGCCAATTCTTCCGAAGGGGACCTTGATTAACGGCAGAGGGCGCAATGGCACTTTTGGGGATGGCCAGTGGATTAACCAACTGACATTCGCGACATACCGCACACTACCTGCGGACATCCCCGCAAATGCCCGGCCATTAAAATCGGGCCATGAGACGGTGAAAATGATTTCTTGACTGCCTTTCGGTATCTATAACTGGGTTATATTCTCTTTTGTATGCACATCCTGCGTCATGCGATATAACCTATCACGAATCACTGCAAAATATGGGTACGAGAGAATTCAGCCGGGCTCCATGAGGTTACCATCAATCGACTGCACATTGTCGAATGCATGATGCAATGTCTCCTCTCGAGACTGCTCCAGGGGGAAGTCCCTGAGGGGAAGGAAGGCTGCCGCCTCCCTCTCCATCGAGTCACCTGCCCCTGGGACAACTCCAGATGGACCTGGGGTCACCTCATCAGCTCCAGCAATTCTCGCGTCATTGAAAATAATGGCCAGTTCATTCCCAAAATAACTGGGTGGCTGAGGCTGATTAACCGCCGCCTCGACTCTATGCTTTTGGGCCCCCAATTGAATCGTGACCAATGCAATAGGACATTGGCGAATTTCCCCGTGTACACGCCTCACCTTCAACATGCGGCTCGTATCCAATGACCCAGGTTGCATCAGGTGTTGATGGATGGAGGTCTGGTTACAACCTGAATACACCAAAGCCTGATAGGTATTTCCCCTAACACTTACTGGTATATAATACTTCCCAGCTCGATCGGGGGCACTCGGCGACACCTCAGGGACCTGGATCAGTGTATCCACATCCATGGATGTACACTGATACCACAAATGCCCAGGCTCCCCACAGTGCCAGCAGAGCAGCCCGAACTTCCCCTCCACACTGGTGGCAGCGGGAACCTCCTCCCGCAGCGGAGTCGAGAGAGAGATCCCCTCTCTCTCGAGAAGGATATGAGAAGGATACAGGGGCTGAAAAAGAAACCGCTGTCCTCGGAGGTGGGGATGGTCGAGCCAGTGAAGTCGTGGGGCTGGCCCTTCTTGAAGTCAGCTGTGTGGGCCCTTCCTGCCGCATTCTCGGGGCGGGAATGGGCCTCCGGCCCTCCCGTAACCTGGGAGTGGGGACAGGTCGAGAGGGAGGGGGAACAGAGAGAGAGAGAGCTACTTGAAGACCCCCCATACGGGGTCCCCAAATGATCCTCCGCCAGCTGGATGGCGGTTTCCAGGGATGCTGGCCGATGGCTCTGAACCCATTCGGCTGTCTGTTTCAGAAGCTGCATGGACAACTGTTCCAGGACCACCACATCCACCACCCCGTCGGCGTCGCGATCCTCCGGCAATAACCATTGTCGGCAGGCTTCCCGGAGCTGCTGGGCAAAGGCAATCGGGTGGCCACACTCCTGGAGGGTCAGCGATCTAAAGCACTGACCCTCCAGGAGTGTGAGAAACAGCAGAAACGCTGAGAACGATACAGTCAGAAGACTTTCAATCTACAGATCAACATAATTTACTACATACCATTAATTTACTGTAACACTAACTGCACCATGGTATTGTGTCAGAAATGTGGAATATTCATATAGAATTTTATTATATTATTAATGTAGCCAAGTCAAGTCACCGTTATTTGTATAGCCCTTTTTACAATACAGATGGTGTTAAAGCAGCTCTAAACAATGTAATGACATGGAAAAAATACTAAATTCACAAAACTTTTTTTTTTTCTGGTCTCAGGAGTATATTTACATAAGTGCTCTAGTGTAGTTATTTACCTGTAGTTGTTAATGAAGATGGGTATCATCAGATTTCTGTTTATTCTTTAATTTTTAATTCTTAATGTTATTTAGAAAAACAGACAACACAGAAATACATATAATGTGTGAATTAGCTCTTATGTGAGTGCAGTGTTACTGAATGAGGATTTTAAATTGATGTGCTCAACGCTTGCTTTTGTGTTGACATTTGGATTTGAGACTTTAGTCTTTGCAACTTTACAGATCTTCTTTATGCACCAAGAGCTTGTAACACTCCAAAGAGAAAGGAAAAATTTAAATCGCATCATATGACCCCTTTAATATAGTTATATAATGATATACAAAGAGCCAACACTTAGTGCCTCTTTGACTTCTTGATGATTTTGGCAAATCTGCTTCTTTCACACAGACATTCAGCTGGAATATTCCATCAGTTTATCAGTGCAGACGAGCATCAACGCATCAGGAAGAGCTGAAATCTGCAAAGACTGAGTTTATTAAAGAGTACAGAGAGAAGATGAGAGATCCAGAACCCTGCAGAATCAAACACACTGAAGATACTGAAGAACTAACAGGTTGGTGTTTATTCTTCATTCTTCATTAATAATGCTGTTGGTTATAAAGTTTCAAGTAGTATTAGATTGTGTTTGTTGTAATTGGAAATATCTTAGCTCTGCAATAATATAACTAAATAATCAAATAATAAGGGACACTTTCTATAAACTGGGTACTTTTTTTGCAACAAAATTAATTATGCTAGATAATTGTGTTGTTGATCAAACACATTTAAAATTCTTCCTACAGAAACATGGGATATGTGCCTATAATGTTTTAAAAATCATAATTTGAAGATCAGTGTACCTCGTTCATGGACATTTTCAGGGACGTTTATATAAAATGTACTAGATGTATTTATAAAACTTCATAAAAATGATCAAAGTATTGTATAGCAATTGTCTACTTTCCGCTGTTACATCAGGGTTCAATTTTATGTATTTTCACTTTTTTATGAGTTACTGACAAAGGAGCTGTTTTTGCTTTTATTTCAGAGTTGATTGAAGAAAATGAGGAAAAGGAAGAATTTAGTAAAGTTGAGGGAAAAAATCTATTCAAAACTGGAGAAAAACCTTTGAGTTGCTGTCAAAGCAAAGAGATAATATTAAGGAAATCAAGAGCCAAGAAATCTTTCACCTGCACTCAGTGTGGAAAGAGTTTGACATCCAAATATAGTCTTGATGTTCACATGAGAGTTCATACTGGAGAGAAACCATACAAGTGTTCACACTGTGACAAGAGATTCAGTCAGTTAGGACACCTGAAAACACACGAGAGGATCCACACTGAAGGGAAACCGCACACATGTGATCAATGCGGGAAGAGTTTCACACAAAAAATAAACTTTACGGAGCATATGAGAGTTCATACAGGAGAGAAACCGTTTACTTGTGATCAGTGCGGGAAGAGATTCTCACACTCAGCACACCTTAAAAGACACACAAACATCCACACTGGAGAGAAACCATATTCATATGATCAATGCGGCAAAGCATTTTTGTGCGCTTCATACCGGAGGACACACCTGAAAGTTCATACAAAGGAGAAACCACATTCATGTCATTTGTTTGGAAATAGTTTTGCATTTCTGCAAAGTTTTAAAGTACATCAGAAAACACATACTGGTGTGAGAGACTACATGTGCCTTGAGTGTGAGAAGACTTTTACTTCAGCAAAGTATTTAAAACGGCACCAGAGGATTCACACTGGAGAGAAACCTTATAAGTGTTCACACTGTGACAAGAGATTCAGTCGGTCAGGAACCCTGAAAACACATGAGATGATTCACACTGGAGAGAAACCATACAAGTGTTCACACTGTGACAAGAGATTCAGTCGGTCAGGAATCCTGAAAACACACGAGAGGATTCACACTGGAGAGAAACCTTACACATGTGATCTGTGCGGGAAGGGTTTCACAATAAAAGGAAGCCTTACAGCACATATGAGAGTTCATACTGGAAATAAACCGTTCACTTGTGATCAGTGTGGAAATAGTTTCTCACCTGGAGAAAAACCATACAAGTGTTCACACTGTGACAAGAGATTCAGTCGGTCAGAAACCGTAAAACAACATGAGAGGATTCACACTGGAGAGAAACTTTACAAGTTTTCACACTGTGACAAGAGATTCAGTCGGTCAGAAATCCTGAAAACACACGAGAGGATCCACACTGAAGAGAAACCGTATCACTGCACTGCGTGTGGGAAGCGTTTCAATCAATCTTCTGCTCTACACAGACATACAAAAAACATTCACAGTAAGTAGATCATCTTCAGATCCAGCACTTTCAGGTCTGATGCTGCTTCCTCACCAAATGTGACACAGTAATGCATCACATTACAAGTGACATGACAAAGGAACATTATCTAAAGTTTTCACAGTGAATAAAGTTCATATTCAAAACCAGCAGATTCAACTGTGAGATTCAGATCAACTCAAAGATGGAGGTCCTCTCCAAAGAACAATGTCAAAAAGATTCATTCTTGTGTTTTATTTTGCTTCATCATTTAAATTATATCATTGTGCTTTCTTATGAATTTCATATTATGTTCAGTTGTCTTATAATGCATATGTGTCACTTGCTTACTCTGTCATGAATAAAATTTGAAGCTTTTTACAAACTGTTCTTGTTCAGGAAGCTGAAGAAGAGACGGTAACACTTTTAAGAAAGACAGATTTATTTTTAATTTTATTCTTCACTGTTGTTTTTAAAACGACTAGTTATTTTTCCACTTTTGATTTATTTAGAAAATGCAGATGCAATATATACTGTCATGCAGCTTTGCAACTCATGCTTCTTTGCTTCTCTTGTAATGTAAATGTAAAATAATCTCTTTCGAAGCTACTTGACTTCATCATCATAAAAAAAAAAAATTATATATCTTTATTTATTCCTTCTCTTTCTAGCTTGTACTTATTTAAATAATGTCTAGAAACTTGGTATTACAAGCACTTCCTGTATCTGTTTGCCTCTTTAAGAAGAATCGCTTTATGTATCCCCCAATTGTAAGTCGCTTTGGATAAAAGCGTCTGCAAAATGAGTAAATGTAAATGTAAATGTAAGCAAGGGTGGGTACCGCTACCTGGTATTAAACTGGCTAAATTATGAAAGACTGTGTTCTGTTGTTTAGTAGGTACAACATTAACCTTTCACAGGATGGACGACATGACACCCAGCCATAACTTCTGACAACTTTTATTATCCTCCTCACAGTACCATAACACACACAATATACAATGCTGTACATAACAATTCTGTACAATTCTAGACTACCCAGAATCGTCAACCGATTGTGGGGAATATTCTGCCCCATTGACCACTCAGTGTTTCTCCAGGGTATCTCTAACTACAAACAAAGTCCTTTAGATACCCGGGAGGAGCTCTAATCCGGGAAGGATACCTTCTGGCACATGGTGAGGTCGGTTGGCATACCTTCTGAATTTCAGGCGTGGAAGTTGAACTTTCAGAGCACGGAGATACCTGTATATTGGCTGAATCTGGAAGGTCAGATGTCACAGGAGCTTTTGGAGTTGGTGAGAGATGAAACCTGTTTCTAGTCAAGGTACCTCTGGGTGTCTCTGTAAGGTATGATCTGGGAGAGCCAGAAGTGGACACAACAGTGCCCCTTTCAGAAGTGTCTTTGACCCATACATGTTCACCTGGTCGTAAGTGTGTCATGTCAAGTACTTTGTGTACTTGACATTTCTGTCTGTATGTCAGTTCTATCTTTTTCAGCTTTTCCAAATCCGCACACTCTGCACTGAGCTGAGACGGAATCACAGGAACTTGTGTTCGGAGTTTCCTTCCCATGAAAAGCTCGGCAGGACTGTACACATTGGCAAGACGGGCCGCTCGGTAAGACATTAGCGCAAGATAGGGGTCAACCGACTTTTTCAGGAGGTTCTTGGTTGTCCTCCCCGTTGCTCTGCGGAAAGTGAGGACTCGACATCACATGGTCGAAACCTCAGTCTTGTGCAAAGACACGGAAACAATCTGAAGCAAACTGTGGCCCGTTGTTCCATTTTTTAAACCTCAAAAAACCTTTGAAAAGTAATCCACAATGACCAAGTAGTGCTTGTTGTCTTTTTGGAACAAATCAGCTCCTACGGTGGACCATGACCTTGTTGGAAATTCAGTAGGCAGCATGGTGTCTTTGAAATGTATTCTTTCACGTGCATGTGTCACAGTTCTCAATCATTTATGCTAGGTCTTTACTGAAACCTGGCCACCAAACTGACTGCTTAGCTCTCTCTCTACACTTTGTTATGCCATGATGACTTTCATGCATTTTTTCCAGTATCTCAGCTCGGAGTGACTTTGGAACAACAATCCTGATTCCACTCAATAACAGCCAACTTTGAGCATAAAGGTCTCCTGAGAATGACATGTAAGGTTGGAATGTTTTGTCAACGGAAAACTTATCTGGCCAACCCTTCCACACAGTATTTCTTTAGCTGCTGGAGGATAGAATAATTTTCTTGGTGCTCTTGGATCTCTTTGAGCCTCTTGTCAGTAGCTGGAAGTCAGCATACAGATTGATGTCTTCTTCAGAAAGCCCTTCTGCTGTACTGTTTATGGGAGCTTTAGACAACACATCTGCTGTTGCTATGTTTTTGCTGGCCACATGTTATATGGTGTATGAAAACCTTTAGAAGACGCATACGAAGTCGCTGAATGTGTGGAGGGAGTTCATCCAATCTCTTGGAGCTGAGCAGAGGAACTAGAGGTTTATGATCAGTTCCAATGTGGAAACTTTTCCCAATGAGAAGCTCTGCAAACCTCTCACAGGCCAATGTGGAGGCCAACACCTCCTTCTCTATTTGCGCGTATCGCTGTATCGTGTTACTGAGAGCCTTCGAAGCGAATGCCACAGGTTTCCATATGTGGTCTGCTTGCTTCTGGAGGAGAACAGCACCCAGTCTGTGTGAAGAGGCATCCAAAGAAACAACTGTATCCTTGTTTGGGTCATACCGCGCCAAACCTGGGATCAGTTCCACTTTAATTTTTTTCAAAGGCTTCTTGCTGATGTGACCCCCAAACCCACATATTGGACTTTCTCAATAAGTCTCTGAGTGGCTGCGGTTTTGCTGCCAAATCTGGTAAGAATTTACCAAGGTGGTTAACATTCCCAAAAACCACCTCACTTCACTGACATTACCTAGTTGTTTACCTTAACTGCCTCTAGCTTGTCTGGATCTGCACTCACCCCTGTCGCCTCAACGATCTGTCCGAGAAACTTGATCTTCACCTTGTGACTCCTGCTTCCTGAAGTCTTGAGAGCACCCTTCATAGCCTCACATTGTGTTTCCTCTGCGATGACCCCCAGACGAGCATGTCCCCCATTTGACAAACAGCATGTTCCAGTCCCTCAAGAATTCTGGACATGAGCTTTTGGAATGCTCTGGTGCAGAAGAGATACCAAAGCATAGACAGTTATAACAATATTGGACAAATGGGGTTATAAAGGTGGTGAGCAAAGAGGATTCCTTTGAAAGTGAAATCTGCCAAAAATCTGCATTGGCGTCAAGCTTGGAAAACACTTTGGCTCCCGCAAGTTGTCCTAATGTGTTTTCGACAGAAGAGAGAGGGTGTTTTTCTCTCATAACCGATTTGTTCAGTTCCGTGAGATCAGTGCAAATTCTTACTTTACGTGTACTCTTCGGCACCACAACCATGGGAGCACAACATTCAGTTGGGTCCTCTACCTTTGAAATTACACCCTGCTGTTCCATACGCTTTAATTCTTCCTTCACTTTTGGTAAGAGAGGGAGGGAAATGCATCTTGGTGTCGAGAGAGAGAAAAGTTTTTCTCAATTTTGCTTAAGCCACTAAAGAGTTTTGGAAACTCCTTTTCCACTCTTTCTTTGGAGGTTAAGCTGACAACATCCAGCCTAGCTACCAGTTGAAGCGTGGTAACTGCTGGCCTGCCCAACAATGGCATGTACAATCCATCCACAACATAAATGACCTGTTAGGGCTAGGGTTAGGGCCTAACCCTAACCCACTGAGGGTGGCTGTGAGGGTGGCTGTGACGTTCCACCTGGCCCCTGGAGGACTTTCCTAGGAGGTTTCAGTTTGTGGAACTAGCCCTGGTTGTACAGCGTCACATGAACTGCTGTGTCATCAGCCCCCGTGTCAATTTTGAACATTGTCTCGAAATTGTCCATTTTTATTTCAGTCATCCAGGGACTTCCTTCTACATCAGATGTCAGTGAACCAAGGAATGCGATATCCTGTTTTGTATCCAAAGTTAGCGCTGCTATATTCACCTCATACACCTTCTTTGACTTACACACCCTAGCATAATGTCCCTTTTTATGACAATGATGACATATTAACTCTCTTGCGGGACATTGCTGCAGATTATGTCCTTTTGTGTCACCGCATCTTGTACACTGCGTCTGCTTTTTAAGTTTTTCTTGAGGTGTTTTCTTTGCCAGCTGTCCATATAGTGGCTTTGCATGTTTTGATTTCACATTACTGTACTGTTTAGTTTGCATACTATCCAGCTATTCACTTGTAATTTCCCTTTTAAAGTTTGACTTGAGCATTTCATTTTTTTTCTTTTACTTGTTCAGTTATACAACAGCCTTCTCAAGTGTTAAATCAGGGTCAAGCTGTAACTGTTCTGGCAGTCTTTTGTCTGTTATACCCATGACGAGTCTATCTTTTACCATCTCATCTTGCCAATCTCTGTATCCACAGTGCTCGGCTAAACAATGCAGTGCCGTTATTAGAACAGCACGATAAATCGCACATGATTGTCATGCGCATCTCGTCAGTAAAGCCGGTTCCATCTGAAAGCACGTGATGGAGATTTACTACTAATCACAGAACCGGCTTTACTGACGAGATGCGCATGACAATCACGTGCGATTTATCGTGCAGCCCTAGCCGTTATGAAGTGATCCATGGACTCACCCACTTCTTGCTGCCGCTGATTAAATTTAGCCCTCTCAAAAATCATGTTCCTGTGAGCTACGGAGTGATCGTTTAATCTGTTCTTTACTACTTCATAATTACTTGCCTCTTGAGGACTTAGATGCATGGAAGTTAGCACGGCCCCAGACTAAGGACTTAGACCTTTTTTTGTGATGGCCATACAAATAATAGGGTTGTCTGTGGTTTGAGAATTTGCTGTGGATGTATAGGATGGCCTGGATGAGTGCGAGATTTCCTGGCCTGAAATTGTGTCCCAGTCCACCCCTGGTTGTTCATGAGTCCCTTGTTTGTCCTGAACAGTAAAACGGCCCACTGTACTTGAGAAAAATCCTTCACGTCCAAATTCTTTGGTTTTCAAGCATTTTTGTGTATTTGAACCCTTTCCAACAATG